TGACACGAATCGGCCCGCTTGGACGAGCAGCAGTTCGCCAGTCGATTGATATTCGTGAAAAGCGCTCGATTTTGAAAGGAGGGTGTTGCTGGATCTGTCCAAGGCAAAACGGTGTCTCAACAACTTGTTGCGTCAATGGGAAGCAACTGCCCCAAAGAAATGGTCCGCAAACAGGTGCACGTGCCCTTCCCTGACAATCGGGCTGGTTTGTCGCTGGGAGACGCTGGGTAGTGGGGGCGAACAATCTGGACCTCGCCGGTTACCTTGCATCAGTGATGAGCTCCAAATGCATTCGAATTCGTCGCCTCGACCTCCGGTTCTCCTGGGCATTTGTTGTTATACTTTCCATGTCCCCTTTCGCCCCGCTTACGGTTGCCGGAAGTCGCTAGCCCATGTTCGCAGCCGAGACACCGTTCCTTCTTCGCTGGTTTCAGTGGCGGCATTGCGGGGGACTTATCGCAACCGTCTCGGAAACACACTTCAGTCACGCCAACAGCTCGCGAGTATCGGCGCCTATCTTGACTCACCACATCGTCTCTTCCCATGCAAAACCCCCATCCCGCAGAATTGTTTTTCATGGACCCTCATCCGTTGTCTGAACTGACAAGCAGACTTAGGTAATGGATATCGAGCCTCGTCGGCAAGGGTTGTCAACAGCGGGTATTGACCAAATAGGATGAGGTTGGCCACATGACCCTAAAAGTACCTCTTCAGACATCCCTTTCGGAGCGGTGAAGCGACGCACAGGAATAAGTGTGGGACGTGTGCCATACCGATGCTCAAGAGCTAAGCTGATTCGATCTCCCTGGGCACCAAAGCTCGACGATAGAGACGGCTCGATAGCCTGTGCCAACGAAGAGCTCTATCGTGAGACAAAAGGCCATCGTGGACAACTGCGAAAGGGTTTTGAGAATGCGGATGATGTGTATAGCATTATCGGCCGCAGCCAAGGGGCTTTTGGCGCTTTTCGCCTCTGTGGTGGTGATGGAAACTAGAGGAGACCCGAGCACCAGCTGTGTTGCGGCCCAAGACCGGAACCGGCCCCGGATCGCACGGAGGGCCGGGAATCGGGGCCGAGCCCCGAGCCTTCAACATATCCCCACGTACCATTCCCATTCAGCCACCGGGTTTCAACGTTTACATATTCGATCGGGCCGCAAAACAACACATTCCCACGTTGAATGGGGGTCACAGTTGTGGGATTGGTGGCCTGCAGCGGCAGCCGAGTCTCGGTCCTCGATCGAAGGAATAAACAAAATCTAAACAAACATCGAAAGTTCACCAAAGACGCGGGGTGCTCTGCTTCTCTCCCTCGCGGCGAACAAGCGTTTGATCGAAGCACCCACATGTGACAAGATGCTGCATCTTCGGAGCGACATCATGGCACCATTGTGTCGCTCTGCCGCCCCACCTCTAAATCCCGCCATCTTGGACCCAGATACGCTGGAAGGCCCAGCTGGCACGCTAATTTTAGACCCGAAAAGGTCTCCCCGCCACCACATCAGGGGCGAGGACCACAGAAAATGTGTTTCATCAGTGTCTTTTTCTGCGGGAACTATATTTTAACTGTACACACCAAGCCCACCACGATGATCCAACTGCTCAGCCCCATTCCAGTCTCATCCCGGCTATCTTGGCAGCTGCATCTCAACGCGTCCCCCCCCGCCCGCCACGAATGGTTTCAGATCCTGTCAACCTTTTTTCTTTCCCAATTGATCATTCCACTCAACCGCCATTTGCCCGTCGCGGTGGAGATTCAGTGGCCCATTGTCCCCGCCGGTTATCGACTCTCGCACAACAATGCATCCGGCAGGCCAGGCAAGCTCCTTGGTTGGCAGTCGAGAGGGTTCGGGCTTCTGGTCTTCAGGGTCCAATGCTGCAGCCTAGCGTCCAGGATCGGGGTTTCAGTCTGACCTCATCGGGCTCGGGTGGGGCATTCAAAAATGGCTTTGGAAGTCGAACTACGTTTACGAACAAACGAGGTTTACTCAAGCGCCAGTAGCGATGAAAGAAATGTCAGAAAACAGTTGTTTGACAGAACAACACGACATCAATGAGCCTTCTATGCATCCCATCTACATGGTCTGGGCCAGAAGAACACAAAGCCAGACCGAAAGGGATGTTGGTAGGGCTTCGGCCGCCATGCATCGTGATGCTTGCCGTTTCTGATCCTCCGACGGGGAAGCCAGCACCCTGTCACTCCTGTGGCGCGCCCCGGGATCTGCAATTTCGTTGATGCGCTGTGAGAGTTCTTGCAACCCAAGCTCGCTACCATTGCGTGTCGAACGGATGACAACCATCGGGTGCAAGTGAAAGTGACACGCAAAGCCGTGGGTTTGCTTGTCTACGAAGGGATCAGCCACTGTGCGTTCGGTGTCGAAGCACGGTTGACACGCGTCGCACGGCTGGTGTTGTGGGCAGCTCTTGGCATAGGAGGCCGTCAGAAGGGTCTGGAGGAGGGGACCACAGCCAACCCGACGCGAAGCTTGCCCAGTGCGAATTCAGTGGGCTGAGCCCCGGGACGGCAGTGGGCCCCTTACGTCTGCGGGCTGCGGGCAACGCAGGAAGGCGGGATTGCGCCACCGAACAGCACAGCCTTTGCTAGCCCCGACCGCAGCTCGTGGTCTTGCGCTCGCAGAATAAGGTCAGCAAAAGGCGCATTGAGCTGGGGTTTATTCTCGTTCTTATTTATCTGCAGCTCACCTCTCTGTCCTCCTGTTCCGTCATCCTCCTACGTATTTCGCACACCAACGACCTCCCCAGTTCACTCGCTGAAGGCACCCGACCGACCCTAAAGGTAACCTTAAACCTACCTTTAGGCCGAACCATTCGCTCCTAAAACCTACCCACTCCCGTCCCTTGATCGACGACCCGAAAGCGCGAAAATGGCCAACTTTGGGAGGTTCGTGTGCGTGCTGCTGCCATTCGCACTCACGGTGGCCTCGTTGATAGCATTGCTGGTTGCTGGTCTTGCGGGGGTTGCCGACAAGTCGTTGTACATGTTCCGAGTGAACACGACCGACCTCTCGATTTCGCCCTTAACCGTCAGCAACCTAATCAACTCGAGGCAGTTCCACGACCCCAACCTCATCTCGGAGACGACTGGCAGCAACAGCGGCTCGGGCTCGGGCAACATCACGGCCGCCGACCTTGGTCTCTACGACCTCTACGACGTTGGTCTCTGGGGCTACTGCTACACCCCCAAGAATGGATCGCGCGACTGCACCAAGCCTGCCTTCAACTGGGCCGAGCATGCGCTCAACGAGACCACGGGCGATATCAAGCACCTGATCACCCTTACCGGCCAGAACATTACCCTCCCGCAAGCTATTACCGACGCAGTTGAGGCATTCGGCACCGTCTCCCGCTGGACGCAGATCGTCTTCATCATCGCCTATGTGGCGCTTGCGGTTCAGCTGTTCTTCGGCATCTTTGCTAACTGCAGCCGCGCCTTCTCCTGCATTACCTGGCTGGTTTCTGCGGTTGCAGCTGTCGCTGTCTGTGGTGCCGCTGGTCTCGCGACTGCCACCTCGGTCGTTATTGTCGGCGCTGTCGAGGGCACTGCCAGGTTCTACGGCGTTGGAGGTGACTTTAACACCAAGTTCCTCGCTGCCGTCTGGATCTCTGCCGCTTTCGCCCTTGCGGCCGGCTTCTTCTGGCTCTTTACCATCTGCTGCTGCGCCCCCGACCGCTCCTCTGGCCGCAGCCGCAAGAACCGCGGATCCGATGGCGAGAAGCTCATGGGCTCCGGTCCTTATCAGCCCATCGGCGACCAGAACGGCTACCAGAGCAACCGCTTTTCGCAGCCGTACTCGTCGGGCGCCCCCAGCCACAACCAACCCCAGCGCGATCTTGCCTACGAGCCTTACTCGCACGCTCGCTCTTAAGTCAACAACAACATCGCACACCGATTGGTGGTTCTACGGCAAGCGGATCTGATTGCTCGGTGGTTCTACATGTTTCAGGTTTATTGTCAACACTACATGCATTCAGACGGCGTTGGTGGGGTATCCGGGTAATTGGAAGAAAATGGTTATGTTCCAAGTGTTATTGCAAGCGGGCGGAAGGCGAGCGACTGATCGCCGACTCATGATTTTGGGAACGATACCCGTTGCGGGTCGTGGATGATTTAGAGGACGCGATATTGGAATTTGACGTAACGCTGAATGACTATTGAATCCTGCCTTTCAGTTTCTGTGACTCGTGAGCATCATTTCTCCCAACCCAGCCCACAAGATCTCATCAGACGGAGTTCCCAACTTTGAGTTCCGAAAGCTGGGAATCGCATCCTCTCAGCCTGACAACGCAGCCCGGCGACCAACCACTCACTCTGTCAGGTCAGATTCGTTCCTTCGCATCACATGCAGGCCCTCGATTGGGTTTCTGTTGACAAGGTTCCTTCGCCCGTCAGCTTACCCGCTCATGCAGTGCACTGTGCACACAGTCCGACCTCCGATTGATGAGCTGACGGAAGCTCCCTTTACCGCCGCCGCTGTGGTCTGGATCGCGTCCATGGCTACTACATAACGGGCTGGTTAGGCGCGGTGACGGCGGTGACATATATAGCACCTGGGGGAAATTATTAGGATGAGGAATGCTTCCTTGTCCATGGGCAATGAGTTTGTCTAAACGCAGGTTGTAGTGCAGGCTGTGCTCAATGATTGGGTCTGATATGACTTGTGGGGTTTGGCACTTAAAAGTTGCAATGTGGTGGTCAAGCTGATCACTTTGGGTGATGGAGTGTCATGATTGCGGCATGGATGAGATAGGAGTTGCAGTTGCCCCTTTCAACGTCAACCCGGAAGCGTAACCACGCTCTAAGTTGTCCTTTGCGTGTAGGTCGAATGCCGTTGCAATTTGATATTGGGTAGAAGAAAAAAAACAATCTCACAAACTTTACTCGGTCGGTTGAGGTGGATCGATGCTGTGGAGCAGTGGTGGAGGTTGTGTCCACCACCTATCTAAGCTGCTCTTTTGGGTCCTCCAATCATCGGTCAACAGGTCCTGTGGTGTAGTGGTTATCACATTTGCTTTACAAGCTGTTCACTTGTAAATCTTGCAACGCAAAGGGCCGCAGGTTCGATCCCTGCCAGGATCAGTTATTTTTGCACTTTTCCAACAACTTCATTTTTGCGATTCCAGCTATTGCTGATGATGGTTTCTCTTTTTGGTTGCTAGCGGCGGCGATGATCAATTGTTTGTGATGATCCCTCGAGCGAGGTAAAGTTGCTTGGCCAAACGGGATGTGGTGCCCCTGATTGCAGTCTGCAAAGTTGTTCATCGGCTGGAAACAACTCTTTTTCCACGTCTCTACGCTATTTTCTCCGTTCCCAAGTGAAAACAAGTCCAATGTATACTCTCATCCCCCTTTTGCACTATACTTCCCAAACCTCCATGCCCACACCTCCAACCATCAACCTCCCAGGGGCAATAACTTCGAGGTCCCCGGCATCCGCAATAGAGCTGTACTCGTTCGCAAGCAACGCCACGCTGACACCCTCCGTGCCATCTCCCCGTCGACTCGCCCTCCACACCTTCGCACGCTGGTCGTTACTAACCGTCGCCACCTCAACGACCCCATCACCCCCACGGAGCACCTTGAGACCCGTCACGGCCGCCGCATGCGCACTCCTGACCCTCGACTTGCCCACCACCACGAAGCTGACCCCATTCCATTCGAGATCCAAGAATGCTAGTGCGTTATCGTCACCTCCACAAACAACCGACCACCTGTCCCCTTCCACAAACAAATCCATACTCTTGATCGAACTCTGATGCACCCTCGTCACCAAACCCAGCCCATACTCGGTCCCTTCCAACTTCCACACACTGACGAGCCCATCCGTCGAAGCAGTCACCACCCAAATTCCCTCCCCCTCATCAACCCTCAAGTGTCTCACCTGCGTCAAACACGCCCCAGTATACCTTCCGACCCCTAAAAGACCAAACCCACCCATCTTTGAATAGCGATATGACCTCACTGTCGAATTGGACAACACCATGGTAATCAACATCCCGTTGTCGTCCTTCCACCCTTGCACATCAAAATTCATAATCCTCAAATCTCCATCCGGACTCCGATCAAGATACCCAGCCTCGCAAACCACCGCGAGCCCCTGATACTCTGACTCAAACCGTGTAACATGCCAGATATAAAACTCCTCGTTGCCCGCGCTGCTGATGAGATACTCATCGCCGTGCCACTGGAGGGCCTGGATACCCGCTGAATGCTTCTCCAGCACAGCGAGGGACTTGAAACCGCGGAGTCTAGGGTCGCTGGTATCATCGGCATACTGCCAGATACGGATGGTAGTGTCTTCGGCTGCGGTAGCGATGTATTTGGATGAAGCTGAGGCTGCTACAGCGCGGATCTCACGGCCATGGCCGCCTTGTTTGAGGGTTCGCAACGGGGGTTTGGATTGCGCGTGTAGGCGCATCTGGCCAGAGAGGGTGAAGACGAAGACGAGTTTGCCCGGGTCGGTCGGGGACGAGATGTAGCTGAAGGGACGGTGGGGGTTGCCGCAGTTGATGTTGGCTAGTTCGTCGCACCGGGTTTCATTCCAGGCGATGAAACTTTTGCCGCGGAAGCCGTGGAAGATGAGGTCGAGGGTGTTGGTTTGGGGGCTTTTGGAGAAGATGGCGCCCTCGATTATGCTGAGGGGTGGGGAGATTTCGTGCTGGAGGACCATTGTTGGTGATGAGGGGGTTGGTGTGGTGATGGTGTAGACGCGGTATTTGCCGTCTCGACCGGTTGTTAGGAAGGAGGTTGTGCTTCCGGGTAGGGGGAGAATGCTGGTGATGGCATCCTTGGTTTTGCAGTCTTTGCGCGAGTGGATCATGGTGAATGCGTTGGAGGTTTCTGTGTAGAGTGACAAGACGCCTACCCTTGAGCCCAGGATGAGTTTGTCGCCGCAGTAGGCGGCCGAGGTGAGGATGTAGCATGAGTAGTCTTTGTCGAAATGGAGTAGCCTTGGGTCTTGGCATGCTTCCCCGGTCTTGGTATCGTAGCTGAGAATGTGTGCGTGGTCCTGGCCGAGGACGGTGACAATGACGGTTTGTTGTTGTCGCTGATCACGTCCTCCCAAACGAACGATGTCTGTGATTTTTGACTGGTATTGTGCCAACTCTTTGATGCCAAGAGGTTCGGTATATAGGTAGACCTTCCCAGGCGCACTCCCGATGAACGCCGTGCCTTCTATGGGACTCCTGATGACTTGGAAAGCGCCGAGTCCAGCCTGGATGGCCTCTGAAACTTCCACCTTCTTCCACAAAATGGGACTCCCCAGGGTCCCGAGGAATAGTTCCCCAGATGTTGATGTCATAAGAAGCTTATTTTGCGACATAAAGGCATACCGATTGAAGCCATTCTTGACTGTTGTCGCGGGTCGTTTGGGATGGTCACCGAGAGAAAGCTCGCGAAGAGCCTGTGTGAACTCATCAAAAGTGAGGTTCAGATCAATCTCATCCTGACTAGTTCTTGACCGAGCAGAGGCCACGATCTTGCTGTCCGCTCCGCCGGACATGACAAGCGAAGACGAAGTTTTCCTTGACACCAGTGCCGACCAGATATTTTTCCCGTTGTGGCAGGTGCTCTGGTTTATGTGACGAAGGGTACCCGACAAGCGAGCTGGAGAAGTCACGACACTAGTGGCCGTGCCGTTGGGGGTGGTGTTAAGTGTGTCTCGTGATGTGGGTAGATCCAGGTCCAGCTCCCACTTTTGCCTCGAGCAGTCCTCCCCAAAGGAATACACAACAACGGGTGCATATTGCTGGGTCTGTTGCTCTGTCCGGCTCTCAAACTTGACGTGCCATATTCTAGAGATGTGGCCCATGGCAGTAGCTACACAACGGAGTGAGTCTTTCTTGTTGCCAGCTGTTGCCTCGGAGTTTCCTCCGAAACCTGTCTCCCTGGCCTCTGCCAACGCCGCTATTTGTGGCAAGCCATCAGAAACTGTGGTCTGGGAATAATCTGTAATGTCCCAGACGCGGACTGTCCTATCATCGCTGCAACTTGCAAGCAGTCTGACCTTGGTATCTGGGGCCACCTCGAGGTCGGGTGATATAGAGACACCGAATATGGATCCTTCGTGGCCAGTGAAAACGTAGAGGAGTTCCCACTGGGAAGCTCTAGAGGAGTCCAAGTGGTATTTCCAGACGATAATCTCGCCAAAGACTGTCCCGCCAGCAACCAAGACGGTTTCAGGGGTAAGCAAACACAGATTCGCCGAGTAAAGAATGGGCCTGGAAGGAGATGTCAAAGGGCCGAATGAGAAAGGCCTCCCGTCTTTTCCTGGGATAATCGGTAATACCTCGTTATGGGCTGTGATGAGAGCGCCTTCGGGACCTTGGTTTGAGAAAAGAATGCCGTCGTAAATCCAGTCCGGGCCCTTGAGTTCCTCTGGTGATGGGGGTGTGTTGCCTTTGAGCAGATCACAGAGGGAAGATTCTGGTAACAGTGTCACGGAGTGGCCACCCCATAAAAGAATGTAGTCGATTTGGCCAGCGCTCTCGGGCACATATATCCCATGGATGGATTGGGACCCGAAGATTCTCATTTGACCAAGCAGCGTGTCGGTTCTGAGAGAGTAGACTTTGAGCCAGCCATCCTCAGCAGCGAGGATGTACCGCTCACCCGCGTGTTCGGTATACTCCTCTAGTGCTGTAATTGGATTCAGGACATGGTTAAGCCGCAAGGGGGCAGCAGATTGAGACTTGAGCATGGTGTCAGCGGAGTGAGAAAAAAGTTGAAGACGAAGAGTGAAAGATATGGGACTTACTTGCTGGCCCATGGTCGTGGAATATGAAAGAAAGAAAAAAAAACTTAGAATGCAAGTATGTTGCGTATTTTTTTTTTTTTGATGCTGCTCACTCTCATGTGAGTGGGTGCCACACACAAGGGAAGTATCCCCCAGTGACTCAATTTTGGCGGTTGATGCCCGACCCTAACCCTAAGTATCTTTGAAGCAATTCGGACGTCTAGCCTTCTCAAAAGCCACCTTCAGTATCGAATGAGCTATAGCTTTTTTTCTTGAGTAGAGTCTGGTTAGGTTGTCGCTGGAGAACAGAGTAATACCTTCAGAAGTATTTTCGCGAGGAAGGGTTAGGGTTACCGGAGCAAGCCAGTCGGGTTCTCAATTGCTGCTTTGGCGATCAAAGTCGTTGACCTCAAACTAAATAACAAGCAACAAACCCGCCATGAAGACCCTCCAAGTTGCCAAATCACTGGCGCGCAGTAGCGCTACCGCTACAAAAGCAATCCCAAGGTTGCCTGACCTTCAATTGACACTTCCAACCCCGCAAAACGCTAATATATCGTCTTCTTAGAGTTCTTTCCACCCGCGCCTTCCAATCCCAATGCCAACCTCTCCTCACCTGCGCCAGCCCCTCCCCCTTCAGACAACCCAATGGTCCAACCAAAAGTCCAAGCAGCAGCAGAGCCTACGCAAAAAAGGCCGGCAAAGCCAACAAGGCAGCGGACAAAGCAGCCCCCAAGTCAGCCGGCAGCTCCAGCACCCCCGCCGAAACCGCCGACGACGAGGGCAACCCCCAGCCCAACCCCGAGGAGCCCTACAAGTTCGACGACGTAACATTTGTCTACGAAAAGCTCGCAAAGCGCTATGCCGACGTCCTCCGACAGTTGCGCGGCGGCAACCGCTTCGGCGACCTGATCGGCGGTGTGCCGGTCCAACCAAACAAGAAGAGCCCGCAGACGTATCCCCTCCGGGAACTAGCGACAGTGGCACCGCTGGGCGGTCGGAGATGGAGCATCCTTGCGTTTGAGGAGGCCTCGGTGGGGCCCATCATCAGCGCTGTCCAGCGGAGCAAGGACTTCAACCAGCAGCCGCAGCGCAACGAGGAGAACCCCCTCGAGCTGACCATCACCATTGAGCCTGAGAAGCCCGGGGACCTGGAGCGCCATGTCAAGGAGACATGCCAGGCGTGGCGGACCAAGGTTCGCAACGAGACACACAAGCGTGAGGACCTTCACAAGAAGTGGCGCAAGCAGGGCTTGATTGTCGATGACGACACCCGTGCGCTGGAGAAAAAGGTGCGGGATCTCCAGACCAAGGCATTGAATGACATTGCCGCGAAGGAGAA